TTATATTTTTTTATTAGTTTAAAATATTTTTTACATGCATGTATAGTATTTTTGGTATAAGAATCTAGTATTTAAATAAATAATTATATGCAAACGTTATAATATGTATATTTCGAATTTATATTGGGGTTTAGGGGCAAGAGCCCTCAAGATGACAAGAGCTAGTAGATAAAAATTCAAAATATATCATTTCATAAAATAATCGTTTTTAAATTTCTCTAAAAAAATTACTTAGTGAACGGCTCAAGAGTATGAATCAGTTTAATTCGAACTGTTAGTAATATAATAATTACTTATCCTACCTAACTTGTACATCATAAATTGACAGATATATCAAATATATCTTATCATAAAATGATAAGATACGTTAAATCTAATATATATTATATACTATATTACTATATACTAGACGTCTAACTAGTAACTAGTATACCTTTATTTCTTATAAACAGTCATTCATATGGCTAACTCTTGAAAAGTTACCTAACTAGCTATGTCGAAGAATTGACCAAAAAAAAAAAAAAACACAAAAATCTTTAATCAATTCATAACGTTTTCTCTCGGGCGCTGCCCACAAATCTAAGCACTTCGTTAGGCGCTCTTATCAAGGCAACAATCAATCATTATTCATTTATATAAAACGACGAGAAGGTGTGTGCAGAAGTATTTTATGTTCCAAAGAAAAAAATACCCTAATGAATAATAAAACACTCAAAATAGAAAACAAAACTGAAGTCTAAGCCAAACTTATTGTAAAACAGTTATATAGCGCGCTTGCTGTTAGCATTAATATCTGTAAATTTGTAAAAGATTGAGATAACTTTTTATTTAATATCTCAAAAAGAGCCCTACAAATATCATATATCAAATAATTTATCTAACAATAACAAAATGGTTTAACATAAGTTTTGACACAATCAAATCTAGAATATTTATGGGATATCGAGCTATATGGAGGCATATTGAATTACAGGTAGTAAATAATATACACAAATAGCAGTCAATATGATATGATAAGTAAACAGTTTACATTGATATTGCTTGCTCAATATCAGAATATCAATAACAAACTTGTACTATAATCCAAATATTTAAGTAAGATATATATAAGGAAAGGAATATAGGGTATAAAGTAGAATTCTAAGTAACTTTCAGCAACATGTTCTCTTCTTATTCTAGCAAACCCTAGTTAAACTTATCTTTAAATAAGATCTCTTTACCTGGCAGACCAGGTAAAGTTTCTATCGTATGCAGCAGAAAAGTATGACAGATATAATGAGACGATTATCTGTCTTTACTTTCTTGTTGCACTTTAATTGCGAAATTGCATTAGTGACACAATTTATGGCAGTGCGTTCAGAGAATGTTTCACATTTCATGGACATGCACTTGGCAACAGGGAATAAGAATTGGTATGGGAATGAAAAGTACCTGATATACTATGGGGTAACAGCTCTACCGAGAGCGCTACTTCATAGCTGAAGTATCACGCGCATAAATTTGTATAATTGGTTAGAGCAAGGGTCGAGAGCAAGAACGAGAGCCCGAACGTACGGCCAGGCATCACATGGCCACTGAGCATAAATTAGTTCTGCCAGGCAGACAGAGACTGACAGACAGTCAGTCAAGGAGACGGTCCTGTTACAAGTGCCCGAAAAAAACGGAGAGTGAAAAGTAAACAGAATTACGATTTTCAATAGCAATGCCAAGGGGCACAAGTGGTGAACCACTGTCGGTGGTTTGTCTCTGTCTGAGATTTTCCTAGCACTCATGTTTACTTTGCTGGGTTTTCGGGAAAATGAAAAACCATAAAAAAGTGGCTGGTCGAATGACAGCGACAAGTGATTGCCCCCTCGACGTGGCATCCTCTAGGAAGCGTCTGTTGTTTTATGATCTACAAACACACACACTTACACACACGCATACTCAGTGTATAGATATAGATATACACATACGTACACACACATTTATCTTCTTTTCTATGCGCTGCTGTCAGTAACTTTTGGCCTTTTGTCAGCCGGCTAAACAGAATCGAAAGACTCAAGCAACGAACTCTCTCATCTATGGCAATTCATAAACAAAATAAACAGCTTCTGATTTGGTAACAAACTAACGGTTCACTCTTCTTCTTCCTCTTCTCCTTCTCCTTCTCTATTTTAGACTAAATTTTTTAATGAACCCGCCGCATTCATTGTGCGATGGCTTTGATTTATGGGCGGCAGCATTAGCTAATCGAAAGCTTTAAAAACAAACCCACTGCACGAGGGCAGCCCACTTGAAGCGCGTGCGCGGCATGCGAAAGGACCTTTTGGCATTTTTGGTGCATCCTTTATTTCGGGTTTATTTTTTTTTTTTTTTTCATTTTTTGATTTATGTCTGTTAGTTGCGCGTCTGTTTTTAATGATTTTTAATGGGCAAATGTAATCAACGCCGACCAGACGCGCAACGCGACTACAACCCCTACACACCCAGAGGGGAAGGGTTGCTGTTTGGGTTGTTGTGATCATTTTAATTGACTTTGCGCACGAGCGCGCACTGATCTGTTGTCGTATCTCGATGCCAGAGCCACTTCACAGGGGTACTCCTCTACCCTCTCTCGCCAGTCAATGGGTTTATCGATTTGAAACTAGAACCCATTTTGAAGGGCACGGAAATACGCATTTAAGATGTGCATCGTAAAAATCTCAAATCTCGCTGCCAGCTGTCAAAATAAGGAGACGCCTCCTGCCACAAATTCCGCATTCCTCAGCGGCAGGGGGAGTTGCCACAGTAGGATGAAGTGAGTTCAATGCACTGCAATATTATTAACTACAAATATTTCATCAAGTATTCTTCTTCACACAAGTCAAAGGCGAGCGAGCAGGCATCGTCTAGGTCTAGCAATCTGTGCAGCTCTCTTAAGTCCCTCACTCTTCATTCGAAAAACCCACCACCAAAAAAATTACAAAGAGAGAGCGCAGTGTGAGCGCAGAGCTCAGCAGAGCAAATGCATTACTTACTACGAGGGTAGCCAGAAATGTAAGTACAAGCCCGATGAAAAATGTTGTTGATATCTTTGAAAACCAAAGCTTAAACTTATTGACAAAAATGTCGTTTAGCCAAACCGGTTATACTAAATTCGCATAAAAACAAACCAACAACATTTAGAAAACACAAGATGTTTGCCATATTTGAGGCATAATAAATCAATCAAAAAGTCCATTTTAGTAAGAGAAAACACACTCAGTGGTTTGTCATCATGCCGACGAGACGGATATTGCTCAATATGCAAATGTTACTATTACGCTAAATATGAATTGATTCATTAATATTACACAAGAAATATTGGATGCATCAGCAATCAATATTTAATAAAGCATAGCGTATCATAATGTGCAACAAACTATAACAGTCGCTCACATAAGCGCACTGCATTATAACGAATAAACTGTTATACTTGCCCTCGCGCAGTCAGTCGGCCAGCTAACACTCTCGCTTCTACTGCGCTGCCTCTGCCGCTACTGCTGCTGCTGCTGCGATATTGCTCTTGTCGCGGCTGAGCCCATTCAGTCAGTGCTCAAGCAGCCGTCGCGCCAGTCACAACGTAGCGCATGTTCTCTCCGCTCAATCGGTCGCCTCTTTTTCGGTACTCTTTGTGCTTAGCGCCGCGCTCTAAGATTTTTCATATTTTCGTATTTCGTATTGTTCTGCTGCGCCTGCGCAACTGCGCTGCTGCGTAAGAAGGAACTGCTGGAAGTGGAACTGGAAGTGCAGTCGTCGCGACGACGCATTTTGTTTATTTGTGTAAATTTCCTGCTTGCCATTGCCAGCGAGGGGGGCGGGGCAGCCAACGGAAATGCAGCGAAAAGGAAATCAAACGTTTGACAAACGGAAATCGAATTATGCGCGAGTGAGAAATTAATTGAGTCAAATCAAATCAGCAAACGGCGATATTTAAGCAAAAAGCCAAATCAAACAGTACACAACAGAAAAAAACATATAATAATAATAGTAATATGTATGTGTATGTGTGAGTGTCGGTGTGCGAATAATAACAATAAAGTGAGCCGTGGTTAGTTTCGCTTAGAGTCAACAATAGCCGCTTGCATTGATTTATAGTCCAAGTGTAAATAATTGCCGCAAATGAATTCAATTGAATCGAAATTCCTGCATTGATGCGCGATTTGGACATTTTCACAACTGACTCGATACCACGGACACACACACACACACGCACACAAAGGCCACGCGGAGCAGCATTTATCGACTGAATTTTTTGACTTTGTGGTAAGTGCAACAATTAACTGCAAATTTAGGCGACCTACAACCAACGATCGCTCTATCGCACTTGACTAATAGTTTAAGCACAGCTTGAGCAAAGGTTGTTTTGTCATCTCGAAAGCTAAGTACAGTGCAGCCTGGCTAGAGGCGCACCTTGCAGCAATGATGTGGCAATATGCAAAGCCACTCCTCCTTCTCAAAAAATCACAAAATAAAAGACCGAAATGATTATTATTATGCAATGTTCTGTCAGAGATCTTGCACATGCGCGTTTTAGCTGAAATTATATATTACGAAATCCAGAGAGGTTTGTCTTGGCCACATTTCTATATACTGTACCACATTCGTATATTCTGCCTGCCTGTACAGCTAACTCTTTTTGTTCTGCTGCTGCTGCTTCTGCTTCTGCTGCTGCCCTAGACAAAAGAGCTGCCAAAGTTGGACGGAAAGCAGTTGGTTTATCATAACAATAGAATTGTCTCTTATGGCCTTTCGCAATCCGCAGGGAAAAGGGCAAAGAAAATTGTTAAAAGCTTTTAATTTACGATGCTTACGCCGACTATTAAAACGCGATTTGAATTGCTGATGCTGCTGTTGGCCAACTGCCTGGCTGCCTATAGTAATTAAAAGCTGCTCAGGCAGGCAGATACAAACATACATACATATATACAAATATAWATTATATATCGATAGCAATTTCATTTGCCGCAAAAACAAATCAAAAGAGTTGAATTCTATCGGAATTCTAATAATATTTCTATCTAGTCTGCCCTTGGCCTCTCTGTATATATAATTACATATGAAGTGAAGCCCGGTAATTGTGGAACACAATTTGTTGTGGCAGGTAGCTAGGTAGCTAGAAGTCGCTGCTCGCGCTGTCTATTTCTCTTGATAGTCTCATTAATTTCTGTAGCGAATGCCTTTGCATTTGAATGACGGTAGATTCATTGAAATTCCAAACGGAAAAAGGGCTACAGAACCCTTTGGACAGGATGTTGTCTTGTGAGGAGCGAGCGGATTAACATAATTTTTAAGACTTTTCTCTGTTGTTGACTTTGTTTTTCCTCATTTGGCTTTGTCTCTGCGTCTTTTGAAGCCCAATCAACGACTTTTTTCATATGTAAATCTTTCTCTGCGTCTAGACTTGATCTGATCTTTCTCCCTCTCTGTCTCTCTCGCCCAGCAGCTATTAACGAGTGGAGTGTGCTCAGATTTCCAAACTATTTATAGTTTCACTTTCAATAACAATTAAAAATAAAACCTCTCTCAGCGTGATCTAAATTTACAGATTTCGCTTGCTTTATTGCTATATATATGTATATATACATCCGATCATCAACCATTTGCGCTTTCATTTCGATTGATAACTATAATGAATTAGTATAGCATAGAAGACTATCTCAACTTTCTAGAGTGTCGCTAGCATTTTGATTTGCATAATCGTTTTTTGCACGGGAAAGACTTTCACGCGACCCAAATGACATTCTAGCTGAACCCATTGGCTTTAATTGTTGGCCAATTATCAGCAGCTGTGTGGCAAGTACTTGCTTCTGTCCAGCTGCCAGGTGTGCAGCCGCCACACAGCACACCTGGCCTAAACCGTATCTCTCTCGCGAGAGCTGAGACCTCGTTCAAAGTCAAAGTTGAAGATGAAGAAATGCTAATTAAAAAAAAAGAGCCAAAAATAAAAACAAAAATGCCAAAAAAAAACGTAAATTTATTTGTGTCAAGACTATTAACTAATTTCTGTAATACTCGCAGCAGCTCCGCTCAGTTTCTCAGTTTTCTTTTTTCGACTGGTCCATTTGCTCAGCTCAACCTCTATACAGGTGATTATGATGTTATTATCAATGTCGCTTTTGTTGCCATTGTCATATTTATTGCTGTTGTTTTGAAACACTTGCGCACACACAGAGTTGACAATTGTCAAGTTTGTTTGGCTCTAGGCGCACGAATTGAAGTCGAAACTGTGCCAAAGGCACTCGTGCAGATAGCCGCATTCATTGAGCACCCAAGCCTAAGTAGTGCCGTATCAGAACAGGCAGCTGGTCGGAAATACCAAACAAGTCTTGTTTACCTTTATAAAAACACACAAAACCTACAAAGCCATTGTTATTAAAGCCCAATTGTTATTATCAAAAGTCGCTCAGCAAAAAGCGCGAAAGAAAACACAATGCATGAATAAATGTTTTTGCTGCTAATGTTAAACACATTATAAATATTTCACTCATTTATAAATATTATTCATTTAAAATATTGATGGATTGCAGAAAATAAATACAAAAAAGATTTCCCAAACGTTTTTTCGAGTTGCCTCCTGTGAGGATTGAACTCACGACCCCTGGTTTACAAGACCAGTGCTCTGCCACTGAGCTAAAGAGGCGCATACAAGCTTCTTGCCTGATTCACAACAACATTTACGCGAACAGAATTTTTCTTAACAGAACACTGGCAGTGTTAACCGCAGCAGTCGACAGTGGTCATGTTAAATTAACAGCGCCATGTTAATTCAAGCAGTAGCTAACAGAGGCGAACGCATTTGCATTAAATTGACGCGTCATAAACAAACTTTGATTTAAATGTATTTACGCCTGCCTATTGTTACCTGGCGTGTTCGTATTAGAAAACAAAACAGGTGTCATCTCCATTTTTGTAATTGTTGAGAATTATTTGCATTGCTCGTATGGCGACGCACAAGCAAACACAAATTGTGGGCGCACTGAGCTCATCTCGCAGCAATTTGTAGGTGCGCTTCAAAAACAACAAACGACAAACACAATTTGATATATATTGAAATGTTAATAAGTAAGTTATGTGTGTATGTACCTGCATATGTTTATATGTATGACAGGCGACGGGCAACACCTCCTCCAATAACAAAACGCGATTCAAATTGGACATTTTATACGTGGGGGCCTGCGTCTCCACAAACATTTCAGTTCAACAACAGCAACAACAACAACAACGACAATGATAGAGCAACTGTATAAATGTTATATATGGGTTATGTGTGTATTTTCAAATGGAATTGCCTTTTGAATTCGTGCATTTAATTTGCATAAAAAGCTCATTACAATTTTCGTTCAGTGCAAAGCTCAGCGACGCGTGGGAAGCCTGGAAGTGACGCCTGGAAGATTGGCAGCGATTTCAGCTTTTCACTTTACCCCACATACACACACACACTCATTCACATGAACACACACTCAAGCTAAGCTCAAGTAATTTATTTATGTAATTGTCAACCGATAGCGATCAGCCATAATTCGAATGCATATTTATGGGCAAAGAGAGCAGATCCACTGAGGCGTTTAATTGCTTCGCTCTTTTTCCCAGCCAAATGCCTGCCCATCTAGGCATCAACAGAGACATCAAAGTGGCCATAGAAGCAATCTTCTCTAATGAGAATTTATGTTCAATTAGCAGCGATAATCTGTAACAAAATGTACGCAAAAGCCATATAAAGTACCTATTTTATATGTTCTTAAGTCTAACAAAGAATATATGGAATAACAAAGAATATATGGTTTATTGTATCAAAGTTGTGAAAAAAATTGTAGGTTTATGATCATTTACGTACAATTCAATATTAATTATTAATTTATTTAATAATTA